AAAAAAATTCGGTTCTTATTCGATTCTTCGATTCTTGGTCGAGAACCGAACCAAACCATTCGATTCTCGATTCGAATACCCGTTCGGGTATTTCATTTTAAAAAACCCGCTCGATTCGGTTCGGTTCGATTCGGACATTTTGCCCAACCCTAACGCTACACACTAAAAGTTCATTTTCCCCCAACTAGTGAACCTATCCACCACCGTCACCACCATGTCTCCTTGGTTGCCAACGAATTGAAGGGGGGAGAAATACCTATGGATCTATGCAAGACCTCGGCCTGTTAGGAAGATGACTTATTTTGACATCATTTCAGAAGAATCTTTAAGAGAGTGAACTTATATTTTATTATCTCTGAATTAGCTTATTACAAATGATAAGTGAGCACATTTATTATAGTACTCAATGAATTCTTCTACATACCACTCATATATCAGCATCGGTGTTCTAAAATGCTCGTCTTTTTTTTTTTTTCAATTCATAAACGGCTGGATTTATTTTCTTCCATTCTTTTGTCTTCCCTAGACACTCTTTATTAATTTTTTTTCTTTTTTTTTTATTTTTTTAAATTTGATTTAAATTTATTTATTTTTTAAAAAAACTTTTTTTTGACTTCAGTTTCTAGTTTTAAAAGACTTTATATGTCTAAAATTAAAAAAAAATGACTTTATTCAATAAAGAGTTAAATAAGATTTAAACTACGATATTATCTACATTATGTAATAATGATTTTGAAACTCATTATTTTGTTGAAAACTCTAAAAGCGTGTACGTTCATACAAATTTATTAAGTATGACTTGTCTAGTTGAAAATTGTAAGTATAAAAAATAATCTATTTTTTACATTTTAAAATTTTGAAAATTGTATAGTTGACTAATTGTAGGAATTATTAAATAAATATAGTATTTTACAATTTTAGATATTTGGTATGTTTTATTTTAATTATTAAATGATTTTTAGAATGATTAAAAATTAAAAAAACGTTTTTCTATTCCTAAGTATCGTTTAGATTCGTTTAAACTCGTGAAGCTTGAAATTTTGACTCAATGTCTAGCCACGTTTTATATTTTTTAGAACATTGACCAAAATAAATGTATCTTCTAAATACATACACTAAATATTTTTTAATACAAGGCAATTCTAGATAAGATTATTCTAGATCATGACTTATTCTGGAATATGGACTATTCTAGATGCGAACAAATGGACAATTTAATTAGGGCGTGTTTGATGGGCTATATTTTCCAGGGAAGTAGGAAAATATTTTTCAACTTTTGCGCTGTTTGATAGCCTAAATTTTCCCCGAAAAATATTTTCCCACCCCACTCGCCACGTCAGCACTTTCCTTGATTTCCTTGAAAATATTTTCCCAACATTTTGTTGGGAAAATATTTTCCAACCGGCTGATACAATTTTTTTTTTTTTTTTTTTTTTTTTTTTTTTTTT